GCCACCCACTTTTGAAGGGCAAAAAGAACAACAGTAACATACAGCGAAAAGTACCCCAGACACTTCCCTTACCTGACTGCCACCAAGTCAGGCCGCCATCAAGATGCCAGCCATCATCCCACCAGTTAGCCGACTTCCAGAGTGGAGGGAGACTCCCTCCTATCAGTAGATGACTAAACAGCACTTTTTATTTCTCGCTCTTCAAGAGGCTCAAAGTCTGAATTCCAGGCATGGTTCTAAGACAGGTCTACGTCTATTTCTGCTGCTCCCAGCTCCTGGCAATCATTGCCATTCCTGGCCTGGTAGATCATCTGTCTTTTGGGGGGGGGGGGTGTGAGTCCTAACCCATGTATCATCCAGAGATGATTAGATTCAGGACTCACACTAACTGGTGTGACCTCATTCACATAACAAAATGCTTCGTAGGGTACTCTGGTGGCAGAGTCCAAAGGAGGGGCGCTGCCAGTATGAATATGGTGCCTTTCTCATGCTTTGAATCCACCTATGACCAAGGAGTGAAGATGGCAGTTTACAGCCCTGGAAAACCCACTGGAGGATCAGCTATGAGTTGGTTCTGAATGGACAGCAATGAGAGTGTGAGTGAGAATGCTTGATGCACCCGAGGGATTGAGACTTTGGACTCAAGATGGAAAGAAGAAGGTAGAATGGTTGATACCAGGATCCTATGTAGGAAGAAAAGAAGTTGGAGAGGTCTAGTCCAGGAGGAGCCCCTGGGATGTGACAGTAGCAGGTGTGTGGCACTTCCTGGAGGAGCCCCGTTACGTAGACTTTCCCCAAGTGTATAACGAGGCCTATGGCACCCCCACCACCTGGTTACATGCATGCTCTTTTGACTGATTAAAGACACATGATTGGGACTCTGTGTTCCCCCAGGGCAGGCTCCTGAGGGGAACAGTGAAGTATCACACACTGTTTGGGGACTTGGAGGGAGGGAGGGAGAGACCAGAACAGATCAAAGTGGGAGCCCCACTCTCCAACAGGGGATTGCAGAGAGCATTTGGACAGGTGCCTACAAGCTTCCCATGAAGCTCAGACTGTCTCCATTCAAAGTCTCCATAGATTGGCTCCATTCCACTACAGGAAACTTTAGCTAAAGATGTCAATTTGCCTGACCCAGGTATTCGCACCTTTAGTTGATTTCTTATTCTGAATGCTGTGTTCCTTAGAATCTGACTTTGGGGCAGACTGTTCTTCTGTAACAGGATGAGGCTCCAGCATCCTTCCTGTGTCCCCTCTTGCAGCCCTAGTGGTGTCTTCCAGAAGCTTCTGCTGCCGTTACTGAGGAGAACCAGCACAGCCATGCTACCACTGAAACCCACAAGATGCTGGCTGAGGAGTGGCTGAGAAGCATCTTGACCAGGGTCACTGCCACTGCTGAACCCCGTGTGGATGTGACACACACTAGCTCCTGGAAGGGGTTGGCTGGAGGGGACAGCCCTGGAAACACACTGGAGGGTCAACTATGATTCCATTCAGACTAGATGACAATGTGTTGTGCTGTTGAACTCTATTGGTCTGTACTCGTCTAGAGCAGAAGACAAAGCAATCAAAGACTCAAAGAAGAGTCACCACTTCTACAACTACTGATCTACCCAACCCACAGCTTCCTGTCCTGAGACCATAAGAACTAGATGGTGCCCTGCTACCACACTATCTACTGCTTGAACAGACCACAGCAAATGAACCTTAATAGAAAGGAGGAAAATGTGGAATAGAACTCAATCTTTAAAAAGACCACACTTGACTGGTCAAGAAATCCCAATATTATCCATTAAGTTATCCTTTAATTATAGGGAAACCACACCCTGGGGTCATCATTCAGCTAAATCACAGTTTGACTCATAAAATAAATAGCATCATTAATGCATTAATTAGATTAATGGAAAGGGAACAACCAGAAAAGAAATAATTAGAATGTGGACACATTATGAACAATAGAACCTATGTCACTTTTCAAAATGCACGGAAATTGTTCTGCTGGGAGTCTAATTTTCTGTGTAAACTTTTACCCCAAAGACAATAGTGTTTTAATAATGTAGGAGTTGCCAAAAAATTTGAGCATAAACATGAAGAAAAAGAATCTGATGTTGGCTTGTTTGTTTAAACAGCCTCTGAGGAATGTTGTTTCTGCCCAGACTAGAGTCTTTTACAAATAATATTGAATTTAATTTTTAGTTAAAGCTGCACAGTAAGTTGGGTTCCCTTTTGGCAATTTCCGTATGAATGAGTCGTTCAATGACATCAGTTAGATTTAACACACTGTGTCAGGATTCTTTTCTTCAATTATGTTCTGTGTGCTCCCTTCCCAGAAATTTAGTCTATTGTCTTAGAGAACTTTGTGACTGTTGCCGAGGTGAGATGGTATCTCACTGTTGTTTTGATCTACATCACGATGGCTAACGAGGGAGCTCTGGTGGCCCCGTGGGCAAGGAGTTGCACTGCTAAACCAAGGGCAGTTGTTCAAATCCACCAGCTGCCCCTCGGGAGAAAGATGGGCAGTCTCCTCCCATGTGATTTACAGCATCTGAAAACCCACTGGAAGGTCAGCTATGGGCTGGTTGTGGTGCAAAGGGAATGAGTCTGACTCAGTAGAAAAGTTTTCTTTATGCACCTGCCGTACAGAGGTAACTCGTGGTTGCTGTGAAGCTGAACACTGTGACACTGATGTGTGAAATGTGATAACGGTTACCCATGGTGGACAGTGTTTGGTGGAGCTCCCCGATTAAACAATCTTGGACGCAGGAGTGGCATCCACTTCTGTAATAGCTTGCCTCCGGAAACCCTATGAACCTGGAGAGAGGATGAAAAGACACACAAGTGTTGAGGACTTTCGTTCATAGGGTCACTATGAGTTGCTTATAACTCGACGGCACTTAACAACAACAACATATTGTATGCTGTTAAGTGTGCCGTAGCATCTTGGAAAAGTTAACAATATTGTGAAATTTATCAAAATGTGACACAGACAAAAGTAAGCTCAAGTTGGAACTGGCATAGAGGTTGTTGGAAATGGCACAGGACTGTCACCAAATCTTCACTTGTAAGAAATGCACCTGTTAGGGGAGCTCTGGTGGCCTAGTGGCAAGGAGCTGCAACTACAATCCCAGAGGCACACGGTTCGAATCCACCAGATGCTCTGCCAGGAAAGGAGGGACAATCTCCTCCTGTACCAATCAGATCTGATTTGATGGTACACTCACACAAAAATAATAAAAATTAAAAAAAAGAAATGCACCTGTTGGTGAAACACAATAAAGCAAAGTGCAGTAAACCAGTGGGTGTTTGTCTTGAGGGAGGACAAAATGAGAACACAATGCCATTTCTGGTACAATAGCAAATTTGAAAAACAAATGTCAGTATAATTATATTTAAAACTAGAAGGGGGAAAACGTCTGGAAAAGAAACAAAAGAGTGTTAAAAGAGTAATTTCTCAGGGACAAAAGAATTTGGGTTCTTTTTTATCCCCAATAATGTTTTGGTATGTTTCAAAATTTCTACAATTCATGATAACCAGGTAGGAAAAAGTTGGCCAACTTGCTGGTTGGTAATTGATGGACAGTGTTGGATGACTCATCCATTTTCAGATTCCAGTTCACTTTGAGCTACAGCTCTTTCTGCCCTTGTTGGGGTTTTTCAAAAACTCTGGTCCTGTAAAATGAAGGGCAATATATCTGAACCGTGGTGTTGGCAAATAGTAGTGAACATCCCACGGGTTGTTAAGAAAACTAAGACCTGAGTGAGAGGCAAGTGCAATCAGGGTACTGTGTAGAGAAAGGATGGTGAAACTTCGTCTTGCATACTTTGGACATGTTGTCAGGAGAGACCAGTCCTGGGGAAAAGACATAATGCGGGGAAAGGCGGAGGGTCAGTGAAGAGGCAGACCCTCAGCGAGACAGACTGACGTAGTTGCTGTGACAATGGGTCTGAGCCGGGCTGATTATGAAGATGGGTGCATGACAGGCAAAGGTTTTTGATCTGGGGTTGAACTCCATAGCACCTAACAACCACACACTAAGGGAAGAGGAACTCTGATGGCTTCGTGTACACTGCATTGGGCTGCTGAGTTAAAAGGTCAGCTGTTCAACTCCACTCTATGCTGAATGGAGATAGATTTCCTTTCCCGGTTATGTCTCATGTGCTGGTCAGGAGTAATAGGTTATGTGGGGCTTTATACGGAAAAGACCCCAATTTTAAAGTTTCCTGATGGAATCGGGGTGGGTGTGTGTTGGCAGTTTCCAGCTTTAGACCCCGAGACTCGCAAAGGGCCTGCAATGCAGATCCCTGAAGTGAGTAAACCATACGGGGTGAGAAGTGACACTTTTGGTAAACTGAGGCTGCGCTCTTTACAGTGTCAGTATAAAGCTGTCAGCTCTTTGGAGGAGCTGACTAAGCGGGATCGCAGAAATGCAGCCTTAAGAGTCAAAAAAGGCTATTAGCAAAGTGCTTTGAATTTACAAAAGACCTCAGTCAAATGTCGTCTCAAGGGAGATTCTTCGTCAAGGCAATATTAAAATGCATTCTATTTACGATACCCTTTGCACATAATCCCTATTAAAAACTTAAAAAGATAAAGGGGGGGGAAAAAAGTACGACCCGAGCCAGCCAGGAGTCGAACCTAGAATCTTCTGATCCGTAGTCAGACGCGTTATCCATTGCGCCACTGGCCCCGTACTGCTCAGAGTCTCACTGCGACCGCCCATGACTGTTTACGCAGCCGCGTCAGCCGGTAGCTCCACACTCAAGGTTCCATTTCACCCGGTCGCCGGAAGCCGCAAAGTCAGCCCACACTTCCCGGCGCCCTTTCTTTCTCCAGCAAACGCGCACTGCCAATCGTCAGTGGCGACGTCACAGCGCACTCTGACGCCCTCCAATCAACTACGTCCGAGAGGACCGCCTCTCAGTCACGGAGGCGCACACTAAGTTTGTCCGCGGTCGCCTTCCGTCCTCTCGCAGTCCAGGGGCGGGGAGAGGGGTGGGACGAGGCCGGGCACTGCGGCCCCCGGGCCAGGGTGACCAGTAGCGCCGAAGCCTAGGTGGCGGCTTGGGGCGGGGCTGGCCGAGACTGGAGGAAGGAGTTGGTGCTGCAGGATGGCGGCGACCGCATATGAACATCTGAAGCTGTAAGTTACGCCGACCGGAGGCCTTTGACAGGAAGGGCCTACGGGGCCGCAGGAGGGGAGAGGCGGCAGGTGCCTCCGATATCGGCCTCCGGGCGACTCCAGGACCCGGGGCGGGACCCCGTCGTCCTTCTCTCCTTCCGTGCACGACGCGGCCGCCCTGGGTCCAGCCCGGGAGTGGCGGCCCTGACGACCTTTTCCCGCCCTGATCGGCCTCGGTGTCCGCGATGGGAGAGTGCGGAGCTGCAGGCTGATCTGCAGCGAGCGGGGCCCGCCGTTGCCATGAAGCTTCCGCGGCTCGCTCGTTCCCCACTTTCCTCCCCGACCTGGGGGTGGCTCCATGTATCCGGATGAATTACTGGGGGAAAAAGAGAAGTTTTCTCGTATTTAACGAGCCTGCAGCAACACTTTGAGGGCCCAGACCTCTCTCTGTTCTAGTCTGTTTAGGCCAGTCTATGACTAGCTTTTAAGATGCAGGAACAATTTAAATAAGGCTCAGTCAGTACCCAGAAGTCCTAAAGGTATTTGCTTTGCTCTTGATTTTGTTGAGCTGCGTTACAAAGCAGGTTTTTGGGAGCCAGAGGCAAATCGCGAGCCTTTTGGCATAGTCCCTTTACCTTTTCGTTTAAGCCAAGTTCTGGAGGCTTTGCGAAGACAAGACTCCGGCTGTCAAGAGTGCTAATATAAAACATAATGCATGGGAATGATTGTCTGAAACACAATGTGAATGAAGAATAGTGTGAAGCACAATGTTGACGAATTTTGTAAGCGAACCAATATAAAACAATAATAATAATGAAAAAAGTGCTAAAATAAGCTATTTGAGGGCGCCTAACTTGTGTACTTTAAGCACATCTTTGGGTTAACTGTTTTACTTGCTTCTGTGTATTTAATGCCTTAAACTTCTAGGATGTTTGAAGATCCAATTGCCATATAATCTGACAATACCTCCAGCAGCAAACCCAAATGTCATTGCTGCGAAGCTTGTCTATGCCTAAATAGGTTAAAATACCTCAGTACTTACGGTGTCACATTTCATTTGCAGAGAAAGGAAGACGTCAGACTGTGGTTTGGGCACTTCCTTAGGCTCCCCAGAACCTCAAGTTCACGAATGACTTTCTGGAAGATTCAGTATAAAGTTAGAGCTGTAAAATTGGAAGAGAGGACATCTGCCTGATATCAAATATTGCAGAAAAGATTCTTTTATCTCACCCCCGCCCCCCCCTTAGTCCACGCGCCCTATTGCAATTTTCCTTGAACTGCAGCTGCACACTTGGGTCCACATTTTCCATTTGTAAGATGATCACCTTGCTGGTGAATGAGTCCCTGCTCCTCTTTGACTGAAGTAGTGGCAGAGCATTGTCACGTGTGCCTTGCTGGGTAACTAGGTTATTGTAGATCAGATAGCGTCTGATAGGAGTGAGTGAGACCTTATACCACTTCTCAAGTGTATTTAAGCAAGGTGGAGCAGTGGCTTGACACAGCTCAGCATTAGATTACATACAGAATACAGCTACATTTTCCTGTGGCCAAGATTGAATGGGATAGAGAATTTGAGAATCAGGATTGTTTTTAAGCCTCTAGGACAATAAATTCTATCAGTTCAGACATATTAAAAAGAAGGAAAAGGATAAAAACCTCTGTATCCATAAAAGAGAGAGGAAATTTAACCTTTAAGTGATGAGGGTGAGCCTTTGTATTGATCTTATTGAGAAGTGGAAACTGTATTTAGATGAAAAAATAAATTGGGTTATGTGAATTATATTCTGTAATTGTTCTGACCTTGTTGTTTTTTTTTTTTTTTTTTAAAATAGTTTTCTGGGGTGCTTCTCTAAGTGAGAAGATACTTTCTTTTCAAGCAAGTTTGTGAGTTGAAGTCTTCTTGAGCTGAAGTCCCTTTCTTGTCTTTTCTCTTTTATTCTTCCTGTTCTAAGGACCTTGTCAAGGTTTTAAAATGTGGTCTATGAGAGAAGTATTCTTTTGAGGTGCATCTGAAGGTAAATGTGGTTTCTGACTCATAATAATTAGTAGGACAAAATCATAACTGTGTTAAAAACATGCCTAAAGATGTGTTGGGCTCCCAGAGGTGCCTGGTTCAAATCCACCAGATGCTCTGCTGGAGAAGGAGGGACAATCCCCTCCTGTACCAGTCAGATCTGATTTGATGGTACATGCACAAAAAATAATAAAAAAAAATGTTTTTTAAAAAAGATGCGTTGGGTACATCTGCTGTCGAGGATGTCTTTAAATGCCAGTGAGCAAGGATGTAACTTTAAGGACTAAGGTGTGCCTGACCAAAGCCATAGTATTTTCAGTTGCTTCAAATGTGTGTAAAGGTTGAGCAGTGAATAAGGAGAAGCAAACAAGAATTGATGCCTTTGAAGTGTGGTGTCTGCAAAGAATATTGAATAACCCATGAGCTGCAAAAGGAACAAATACACTTATCTTGGAAGAAGTGCTAGGAGGTTCACTTCTCTAATGTCCTCATTTCATCCTCTTACTTCATGGTTATAATCTCTGATCTCATCACACTGTCCTGTAAGATGAGCTTACATTTCTTAGCTGTCTGTATTCTGGTGGTTACTGGTTACCGTCAAGTCTGTTCTGACTCATCTAACCCCCGGCTTTATTTCCCTTAACAGCCCCATTCCCCGTGCCCACCTTTCCTTCAGCAAGAATTTTCTCACCCTCACCCTCGTCTAGCTTCAAGGTTGACCTTATTTTGATCCTTCTGGCAGCTTAATGGTAAGGAATCATGGCTGCCAACATAAAGGTACATGGTTCAAACCCACCAGCTGCTGTACTGGAGAAAGATGAACAGTTAATTCAAATGCTCATCTGAAAACCCTCTGGAGGGTCAGCTGTGGGTTGGTTCTGACTCAACAATACACAACTCAGAGTCCAGGGAGCTCTCGTAGTGTATCTTGTAGGGAGTTGTGCTGTTAACCCAAAGGTGCCACGTCTGTCTCTTTTAGTTCAAATCCACCAGTAGCTGCTCAGGATAAAGACAGAGGCCTCCCAGGAGATTTACAGCCTCAGAAAACCCGCTGGAGGATCAGCTCTGAGTCAGTTCTGAATGGATGGCGGCGAAGGAGGGAGGCCCTTCTCTAGGTTGTAACCATGGTGGGGTCAGGAGACCTCACATTTTTCAAGTCTGGACAGACTTGGATTCAAATTTTGATCTTGCTATTTATTGTGTGACCTTGAACATATTAATTAACCTCTGACCGTCTTTCCTTTGTTAACTGGGGGTGTTACTATTTCACAGGATTATTGTAAGGATTGGAGGAGAGTGTATGTGAAAATCTTTGCTGTACAGAGATACTCAGATCCTCTGAGAAAGCCTTTTTTCTGTCCATGTTTTATCTTTTTCTGAGCTCCTATGATAGTCTTTTTTGAAAGCTAGAATGTCATTAATTAAAAATGACTAGACACGGCCTCTGGCTTCTTGAGGAACCGCAGATATGGAGGGATCCGGGCACTTGTGGCGTTCTTTTTGCCTCAAGTGGTGGTTGGCAGAGTGGACTTGCCAGATGAACTGGGGGTGTCTGGCCCAGAGTTTGCCAGCATTTGGGCGTGCTGGATAATGGTAAGATACCACAGGGCCCAAGTTTTTGTTCAAACATTCTTCTAGGTCGTATAGCTTTGGTCTGTCCACTTGCCATACAGAAGTAACTCATGGTTGCTGTGAGGCTGACCATGGTGATGCTGATGTGTCAAATGCGATAATGGTTACCCTTGGTGGACAGTGTTTGGTGGCGCTCCACAGTTAAAACAAGCTTGGAAGGAGGAGTGGCATCCACTTCCATAATAGCGTGCCTCCGGAAACCCTATGAACCTGGAGAGAGGATGAAAGACACAAGCCTTGAGGACTTTCCTTCATAGGATTGCTATGAGTCGCCTGCGACTCGACGGCACTTAACAACAACAACAACAACAGACATCAAATGTCCATATAATCTACACATTCTGTCTCTTGGGATTGATTTACAATATATTCCCCTTGTCATGGAAAAAAGGACTGAGAACTGGAATACTCAGTCTGTAGGGGTTTTTTTAAAAGCACTGTATCTTGTAGATTTGAGGAAATCATTCCGTATAGTTTGTTTCTCCAAGCACATGCATGGTGAGTAGAACGTTCGAGATCTCCTAACATTGATTTCTTCTCTAGTCTCCCTCAACACTTGGCATAAGTAAGCCACCTCTTTGGTGAATCCCTGTGTGAAGAACTTTCCAGTGTAGAATACCTGCCAGCACCTCAAAAAAGAAAAGATTCTGGGGTAATTCCGGCTGTGTTCTTATGAAGTGACAGTGGTGTACACTGCTTCAGGTGTATTCATCATTTCCCAGCATTTCTGTGAGGCCATAAGTTGATGTACACTTTACACTGTTGGCGACAGTCAAGCCATTGCCATTCACCACCATCAGGTCACTCAGCCGAGTCATGACAGAGCTGGACGTGGAGCATGGCCGGCCTGGAGTCCAGCCTTTGCCATGATGCTGCACTCTGCCACTGACCTTCTTCTATCACATTGCCCTCTCTGTCCTCTGACCTGGCAGGTATACAGATGAATCACTTAAATAGCTGACATCCGCAGATGGGTTTTGAATGTAGAAAACAGAATATTGATTTGTTCAGCATTTAAAATTCATACCTTTCACACTTTGAGGCCGTTCTGACAATCCCTTTTTTGCTTTCAAAGTCGTTTATCTAAGCATGGATATCAGAAGATGATAAATTTGAAGTTGCGCAACAGGACAGAAATAGTGTACTAGAAAAGATTGAAAACGTTTTTCTCTTTTATTTTATTTTGAGAGGTCAGCTGAAACTTAGGTGGAAAGCCGGAATTGTCTGGGTACTGGATCATGCTGTGGCTTGCTTCTGAAGTTGTACTAGTTCATCCATTAGGAAGTTACCTTTCTTTGTAAAAAAGAAAATAAAATTTATAGCTAGGACATCAGTGGAGCCAGATGTGATGCAACAACCTTCAGAGCAGATGTAA